CTTTCCCTTGGCAGCATTCCTTGTAGGGATGGGAGACCTAGGGGCACCCCCGCATGCAGCCTGGGAGCTCAGCAGCACCAACCAGGGAGCCCAAGGTCCTTCTTGCCTCAGAACTGGCCTCTGGCCCCTGCACAAGCCGCTGTCCCAGCCAGCCCTAGTGACAGCCACAGCCCAGCCCATGCACCCTGTCCCTCATGGGGGGTAGACGTGTGGCAGCGGCCTCACTGTGGCCTCCCCAGACCACAAGTCAGGGCTGTGAGCATCCCTCTGATCCCTGAAGTGCTGCCTCCAGCCCCCGGCACTGTGCCCAGGGCTCCCGCAAGGAAGCAGATAAGAGCTGAAAGCAGAACTGCTCCTGGGACTCCCACAGCTGGGCTGTTCTGGGAGGAAAGCCCTGGGAAGAGGAAAGCATCCTTCCCACTGCTCTGCTTGCAGTGCTGATGACCCGTGCGGTGCTTTGGGGGAGCCCTGCACTGGGGAGGTCCCAGCAGGGCTGCAAAGATGCAGCCACGCTGGCTTTTAACTGGGGTCTGTGTTCAGGTTGGTGCTGCTGCAGCCAAGAAACAGCGGAAGGTGAGATCCAGCCTCCTTCTCCTCCTTGTGGTCAGGCAGCTCACCTTCTCCTTTAGGTGCTGATCCCTTGCTGGGATGTAAAAGCCAGTTGGTGCTGCCAGGATGGGAAGCGGCAGGATGTGGGACATGGGTGACACTGGGCACAGCAACAGGATGCAGCCTGCCTGGCTTTGCACTTCTAGGGCTCTGATTACTGCTCGTGCCAGCCCTAAGTGTTCCCACAATGCCAACCCACACAGAGCTCCATGACGGCTTCTCCAGACCCCAGAAAGTGTCTCCCCCACGCTAAACCCCGTCCTTCCCTCCCCACCCAGGTGGTGATGGACAACATGAGGAGGAAGTGCAAATGCCACGGCACCTCAGGGAGCTGCCAGCTGAAGACCTGCTGGCAGGTGACGCCCGAGTTCCGCCTGGTGGGGTCCCTGCTGAAGGACCGCTTCTACGGGGCCACCCTCATCCGGCCCCACAACCGCAACGCGGGGCAGCTGGAGCCGGGCCACGCTCGGCACCGCCGCCGCGCCGGCATCAGCGAGCTGGTTTACTTCGAGAAGTCACCCGACTTCTGCGAGCGGGAACCGGCCTTGGACTCCTTGGGCACCCAAGGGCGCCTGTGCAACAAGACCAGCCCGGGCATGGACAACTGCGAGAGCCTGTGCTGCGGCCGCGGGCACAACATCCTGCGGCAGACGCGCAGCGAGCGCTGCAACTGCAAGTTCCACTGGTGCTGCTTCGTGGCCTGCGAGGAATGTCGCATCACCGAGTGGGTCAGCGTCTGCAAGTAGCCGGGCGGGGACGGGCGCCCACCCCGAGGTGCCAGGGACACGAACGCCTTGCCCGCGGAGGGGGGGAGGGAGGTGGGGATGGGCGCTGG